TTTTGTTTTCGGCTTCCTCTAACATAGAACGACCGTCCGCATCCTTTACCTATATAAATATAAATAAATATAAATAAATAAATAAATATAAATAAATAAATATAAATAAATAAATAAATATAAATAAATAAATATAAATAAATAAATATATAAATAAATATAAATAAATAAATAAATAAATAAATATAAATAAATAAATAAATAAATATAAATATATAAATATAAATAAATAAATATAAATAAATAAATATAAATAAATGTAAATAAACAAATAAATATTAATAAATATAAATAAATAAATACATATAAATAAATAAATAAATATAAATGGATAAATGAATATAAATGAATATAAACACCACCATAAACACGAATACAAACAATAAAAAAATAAAACAAAGACGAAATAGAAACAAAAAAAAACAAAACAAACAAAACAAATAAAACAAAACAAACAAAACAAAACAAACAAAACAAATAAAACAAAACAAACAAAAAACAAAACCTACATAAAGATTAGCGCCTAGAGCAGTAAGAGTTTTAAGCAGCAGCAGCTACGCATAAACAAAATAAACAAAATAAAAAGAAAAAAAAACAAAACAAATAAAATAAAAACAAATAAAATAAAATAAATAAAATAAAATAAATAAAATAAATAAAACTTACATAAAGATTAGCGCCTAGAGCAGTGAGAGTCTTAAGCAGCAGCAGATACCCATAAACAAAATAAAAACGAAAAAAAACAAAACAAACAAAATAAATAAAATAAAAACAAATAAAAAAAAAATAAAATAAAATAAAGAAAATAAAAACAAATAAAATAAAATAAATAAAAACAAATAAAGTAAAATAAATAAAAACAAAACTTACATAAAGATTAGCGCCTAGAGCAGTAAGAGTTTTAAGCAGCAGCAGATACCCATAAACACAGACAAAGACACCAATATAAACAATATAAAAATAAAAAAAGAATAAAAATAAATAAAAATAAAAACAAAATAAAAAATAAATAAAAATAAATAAAATAAATAAAACTTACATAAAGATTAGCGCCTAGAGCAGTAAGAGTTTTAAGCAGCAGCAGATGCCCAGCAGCAGCAGCATGAAAGGCAGCAGTTTTTTTGTGTCTGTCTTCTGTCTCTATAGAAACCCCAAACTCAATAAAAAATAAAACAATAAACAAACAACCGCAGCAGGCAGCTAGGTGGATTGGCTCGGTGTAGTTTAAGCTCCCTGCATACACACACATACTTTCTCTCTTTCTTTTTGTTTTTTTGTTTTTTTGTTTTTTTTGTTTTTTTGTTTTTGTTTGTTTGTTTGTTTGTGTGTGTGTGTGTGGGTGTGTGGGTGTGTGTGTGTG